TTTTTTACCCTATATGGCTGTTTTTCTTTATAAAGTTTTGCTCACCCTGTATAGCATGCGAGTAAGATAATTTAGAAAACCACGTGCATTGAGCATCGCACTTTTAAATCTATAAAAAAAATACAATATACATATGTATACAATATAATGTAAAGCCGCATTTTATAAGTTACGAGTTTAGAAAATAAATATCATAATTTGCAAAAATTAAAAATAATTGATATTGACTTTATATACATGCAAATTAATGTATACATATTAGGTTAGTCTTCTAAATGAATTTTACGATTCTTAAATTTTTTTTATTAACTAATTTGTTACTGTTAGGTTGTTGCAATAGCATCATCATTCTGTAAATAGCTGACAGGAACCCTGCTGGGGTGACAGTCGTTCGGAACTTCGAGCAACGAACTAAGTTCAGTTACACTCTTTGGAACTAAATTATCTTTCTCGCTCTCATTTTCCCAATCAACCATAATAGTACCACTCTGGAGTTTGCGGTATAGGTGGGTAGGTAGTAGTGCAGTCTTCCCGGTCTAAATGCGCTAATTGCGCCATTTGGATGCAGTATCGTAAGACCTTTATATAAATATTTGTTCTCTCGTTTCATAGTTGCGTTCAAAACGCTTGGTAAGTGATAGATATCAAGTGTTCTACAAGTATATCGGGTTTGTGATAAAGCTGAGCATTCACAGAGAAAGTGGAAAACTGTGCACATATTCTCTTCTAGTTTGTAGCTACTGAAACTATTGTTATAGAGCAGACCCAGTTTAAGTGCATATTCTCCAAAATGCCTCGTTATACTAGCTGTAAGTTTATTAAGTACCTTTAATAAGTACTTAGGTCTTGTCTTACTTACGCCGTATATGCTTATTATCTTGGATTTGGTTATAGATTTCCATCCGTTTTAAGCTATTTATTCAAATTATATATAAAGCTCTCTCTTGATTGTTCCTAACGGGCACGGTATTAACTTTGTTTCGGAGAGCCTACTGACTTGGCCTACTCGTCGGCTTTTTTGTTGCCGAAAATATTCCTGTTACCGAGAACCCAGTTTACGCACCCATATTATCTGCCAATGAGCTTAAAACCTTTCTACAATTGCCGACTACGCTGGCGTTAATCTTTGTCGACGACAAGACCAACAATGCCACCCGGCTAGCTGTGTAAACGGTTGCTTTCTCTATCCTTCCGTAGTTACTGAATAGAGTTTAGATCGTCTCTAAGCTTGGTACTTCCGCTTGAAAGTTGCTAGTTGAGTTTGGTAGACGAATAGAGATGCCAACTCCTTGTAGAGTATCCCCGTAATACTTCGGTTGTACTTCGTTATAAGTAGTCTGCTGTCGATTTGTAGACTTTCCGTAATTTTCTCCTCACCCTAATGTGCATGCGCATATAAAAGTACTACACAAAAGTTATTTACTTTATATTAGCATTTTTACTTGCGGAATTCCCTTGCAATCATGATTTATATTTGTGTATATAATAAATTATTTATGTACATATGTGCATGTATGCACTTAAAAACAAAAATTAAAAAATTAAAACGCGATGATTTGATAATTTCCAAAGCAGAAGCAGCAGAATCAGGTCAATGTGTTATGACTGCGAATATTTTAAAGCTACTTTTTTGTAGCGTAATATTTTTTCTTTTTAATTATTATTTTTGCACATTTTTGTATGATTCGCTCTTGCAATTGCTTTGTTTTCATTTTCACTTACTTAATGTCTGCAACGGAAATACGCTTACAACATGCATACACAAACGCACATATACACATGTAAAGTACATACAGAAGCGCGCTTAGCATGTACATAGCTGTGCTTGATTGGATGGTATGTGCATATGTGTGCGTGTGCTGTGCTAACTCCTATTGGCAAAGCTGCCAGCCTTTCTGTTAGAGTCATTAATTAGCGGCAAATGTGTTATTTCGCAAATGAGTATATAAAATATTAAATTTTTTTTGTTATAAGGTTATTTTTTATTATGCAACAACAACATCATTATCCGTTAGTGTTTGCTGAGTGCCTTAAGAAAGTTTATTGCGATTTTTTATAGTTTGAAAAAAATTGTATTGTACCAACTTTTATCGCCACAAACGGGTTGTTAGTGGGCATTTATAATAAAAACAACAAAAGCATATGCTTATGTAATGCTCTTAATAATAAACCCTACCTACCTATTTACCTTGAAAACCTATGTCAGGCATCTAAATATGCAGGTATGCGCAGATGAACTTTGTACTTCGCTCCTCTTGTTGTTACACCCTGTATTCTGCAGTTCCGTAATTCCATATTTAATTGCATGCTATTAAAGAGCACCAAGTTTTATAGGCAATTATACCAATAACCAGCGGCATTATTGCACTTAATTTAACAATGTAGCGCTTGCAATAACAAAAAGTTTAGAATAATAACAAATTAAAAAAATATAGAAAAAACAAACATAAATAAACTCGTTTGCCACCATGCGTCATTATTGTAGAAATCAATTCAACTTTGTTATTCACCTATCAATTAAATGTACAAATAAATGCTTAATAACGTGTGCACATGAGTGCGGGTCTGTGTGTGGTGTGTGTAAGGGTAAATATTAATTAGGGCAAAGTCTAACCGATTGGCGAGTTTTATATGAAAATTATTTACGTACATTAGAGTGTTTGGATTTACAGGGATTTTTTAAGTGAAGTTATTTTTTCGGGATTATAAAAATTGCTTGCTCAGTTTTTAAGATATCCAAATGAATTTTACTATATAAGCGCATTTTAATATTCTATTGATCATTTACCGAAATCAGTCAGATCGGACAACTATATCATATAACTCCCATACAACAGATTATTCAGTAATTTTATTTCCCGGTTGCCTGCCTTTAATTAAAAGGTTGTTTTCTCACATATACTTAACAATGACAGTAAAAATGAAGAAAATCGTACAACTAACATATATCACATATATATCATGCAACCAATTGTTCATTTATTTAACTTTACGGCTGTCTGCTTTTAATTAAAAAGCCATAGCTTGTATTTTTGCTGAATAGTCCTCTAATATATACTTAACATCGACAGTAAAAATAAACAAAATCCCCATATGTCGCCAGAATATAAAAATAATAGCTGATCACCTGATCAAAAATTATTTTTTTTCTAGAAAAGAAGCCGATCTATAAATACTAATTTTTTACAAATATAGCTAGAAAGTGAGTTTATTTATATCCGCGAATCGGTATTTTTCCACTAGATATGAGAGATCGCGAAAAAATTTCATATTAGAAACGTGCCTAAAAACTCAAACTGAACCACTTTTTTTTAACTAGTTGAAAACTAGTAGATCTCTGACTAAAATATGGCATTTGTTATCTCGTAGGACATATATACAGCTGCTAATTTAAGGAATAAATAAAATTTTTATACAAATATTATTTTTGTACATTTAGTGACCACCCTAATGTGTACATGCATACATAAACCAGTCTATGCACTCCCATGTAAGTAGTTTTTAATTAAACAAGCTTAATTAATTTTATAAAAGCACCTTAAGGCTATGAAAATTATGCAACAGTAATTAACAGTAATTTAAAAAAGAATTGTCATACCTTTCTAATCAGAAAATGTACACAAAACTTACTTACTTCAATTAAAATTTGATTAAAACAAGACAAAATATTTATTTATCAGCAACCACATTTATGCCACACTGCTGTAATTGTCGTTAGTTTTGAGATTTGCATACCTGGTTTATAAGCGAGCAAAAGAAAGAGTATAGAAGAAGAAAAATCTTCAGCAGGCTTACCCGTGTGATAATTTTTTGCATCGGAATAAGTTGGCTTACGATTGAGACTTAAAAGAGGTTTCATTCATAAGTAAGAAGCATTGATATGAGATCAGCACTAATGTTAATATTGATAGCCATACCACATGTGTCCAAACAGAAAGTTGTGTCTTTTGCGTTTATGAAGGCCTCGACTAATTCCGATCTTACCTTAAAAGTATGAAGACTTTTGCAATACCGTAAGCTGTTACAGTGTCTAAGCGATGGCTGAGAACTCAAAAACTAACTATTGTATATGGGAAGTAAACTTTTTTTTAACCAAAACAGTGGAACTAAGCACACTTTTCGTCCTTGGTTGGATCGAATTCTGATTCTGAACAGTGGTGTTGTCCCCTCCAAAAGAATTTATCAATAATAAAAAAGTATATATCAAAATGTTAAAGTCAAGCTTAAATTGACTGATTGTTGATATCGGACCATTATAGCATATAGCTGCCATATAAACTGAACGATCAAAATCAAGTTTTTGTATAGCAATTCGCTTTTATTTGACAGTGTATCTTTACGAAATTTAGTATAGATTATTGTCCAACATAGGTCAACAATTTCCTTTTATTGCACATTGTAAATACAAATTTTTTTGTTTCAAGCATTTTTAATATACTATATTATTTATATATATTTAAATAGTTGCTATAAAATCCATAAATTTCATTATTAATAATTTTATTTGTGCTGGCTATTGGACTCATTATACGCGGATTCATACCTAATAATATTAATGATAAAATTTTAAATATTAATCAAAAGATTGTATTGTAAACACAGCAATTACGAAGCGTAAAGCCAGCAAATTGCCTAAAATTAAAACTTAAATGCTTTTAATTAATTGGCTAATTATGGAAAATTATATTGCGTACGATTATTTGATAGTCAAACAGAAAACAGTGTGAAAAGGTGGATGTGAATGAGTGTATGTTTCCACGCAATGGCCTGTAAATTTTAGTGAATTTATTCATTTTGAATTTGTTTAAATGTGTTTTAAGCTTACATAAATTTATCGGTAAAAAAATTAGAAAATATCTTCCATATTGACCGCTATACGGTATAAGGCCAACTTGTTCAGGGTTTCTTCGAAATTTATGGTATATTATATGGCAATTAATGCTATTTTTTTTTGCTTTCATAAAACCTCTTACGTAAATTTCCATTTTTTAATTTTTCAGAATATTCCATTGATTTTTAAAAATTGGCCTATATCACTTTAACAAGGTATGTCCACATAAAATAACACTAAATGACAACTTTTATATATATAAAGTTTTTTTTAATTTCATTTAAATCCATTAATTTACTTTATAAATTGTAAATGTTTTTGAATATATTTCATTCTTTGCCCAAAAGGAGTTTCAATAAAAATACGTAGGTTCCATTAATATATCGATATTTGACAACGCTAGTGTTGCAATCTGGCAACTCACAAATTTATCGTAAAGTTTAACATTTTTGATATTATACAAGCAGAACGTCTTGACATACAAACGCTATTTGTGACGCTTACAGTAACTTAAAATATTCATCTCGGTAAAAAATGGAATTAAGTCGACTATTTTTTAAAACTTTCGACGTGAATTAACTCAGTAACAGGGTATCGATGTACCTAATTAAATTTTTGGCGATGAAGTTGCATCAAGAACCTGTGTTTATTAATGGTATGATGAATTTTAGTCGAAGTCATAGCTCATTTCAAGACGAATTTAGTGAACATCGTCCAAAATCAGTTATTGTTCCGGAAACCGGATATTGCAAGATCGTCATGTGACCTATCGTAAAATTGAGACAACTATAGACCTTAGTGGGACCAGCATACATTCAATATTGCATGAACATATGACTGTAAAAAAAATTTGTTCACTTTGGATCCCACACAATTTGTCAATCGCTCAAAAAACGTTCGTGTCGATTTCTCGAGAGAAATGTTAAAAAATACGACAGCAGTGCTTCCAAGCACGTCTACAAGTATGACATCGTGACAAGTAAGCCTATTTTTTGATTTGGAAAAGCTGGACATGTCGCAACAATACCACTAGAACAACGCAGAACCATTTGTTTGCCAGTTGTCTTTTAAAAAATCAGGAAAATCAACCGCCCAAGACGGAGCACTCTTCACCACAACAATGCGAGCTCTCACACGTCGACTGAAGCAACTGCATTTTTGAGCATTTAAAACATCGATTTGATGAGTCATCCAACGTACCCTCGAATGACTTTTTTTTATTAACATACCTGAAACATAAACTAAAAGGTCAACGTTTTTCAATACCTGAAGAGGTGTTCTTGGAGATGCTTCTTGGTCATTTTCACATCTGGAGTAGAAATTTCCTGAAAATTGCTTTTGAGATATTATCGAGAAAAAATATGGAACTGGGTATAAATCTGGCCGATGAGATGGTGCGTGAATGGTGTGTTTTCTCTTGAGTGGAAAAATTATGAGTAGTCCTATGTTTTTTAAAACTCTCTCAAAGCTTATACCGAAGTCTTCAAGTATCAATCTACCTTTTTCGGCGGTAAAGTTATGTATTTTGTATATAAAAAACGTGGTTACAAGATTCTTAGTTGTCATTTCCGACACCAGACCGCATTCCATATAACATATTTGCATTTCATATACTCATTTGTTATTATATTTGTACTAAAAATGAAAAAGAATACTTTGTAAACTGTCGCGCTCCGTTCTAACTTAGAACCTTCATCACTTACGTTTGTAGACGTGTAAATAAATAAAATATCATCATAAAATCAAACACAAAAGTCAAACACCAGCTATGTCATAAAACATTTCACACAACCTTTAACTTAACTTAAAAAATATCGCGTAATAACTACAAATGCTATAAAATAAACCGCGGAAATTACTGGTGAAAACAAACAGAGTCTAGACTGCATGTGGGTATGTGTGCTGTGATTTAGTAAAAATATTTACCTCACTTTAAATAGATGATTAAAGTATCAGTAAACGTCATACCAATTACCTATGGTGCTGTGGTCTATAATTTAATTTGAATAATCGAAAAAAAAAAAAACGAAAACTACGCAATTTATATAATTATGGAGTAACTTTTCAAAAGCTGAATATGTATGAGAAACTCTCACAAATGTTGTTTTGGCTTGATAAAATGAAAGAGAGTGCACAGAATATGCACATATCATATTTTTGCTCAGTATTGTTTGGCATTTCATCATGAAAAGACTTACGCCTGAACAACGTTTACAAATCATTCAACTTTATTACGAAAATTTACGTTCTGTAAAGAATGTGTTTTGCGCGTTTCGCTCAACTTATAGTCAACCTAATCGGTCTACTGAGCGTACTATTCGCAACACCATCACCCAACTTGAGACCCAGCATTCATTATTGGATAATATTCGACCGAATAGAACATGTTCAGCATGCAGTGAAGAAAATATAGCGGGCGAAGCTGAGGGTGAAGATCGTTAAGAACCGATTTGGCGCCGTTCGCAGCAACTCGGAATGACGTATAGAACGACTTGGCAAACTTTACGTCGAGATCTTAAATTGAAAGCGTATAAAATACAGCTTGTGCAAGAACTGAAGCCGTTCCAAAAAGATCCGACGTTTTCGAGCCAATTTTTGTTCAGCGATGAGGCCCATTTCTGGCTCAATGGGTATGTAAACAAGCAAACTTGCCACAGTTGGGACAAAGAGCCACCTGAAGATATTCAAGAGTTGGCATTTCATCCAGAAAAAACAACGATTTGGTGTGGTTTGTGGGCCGGTGAAATCATGGGTCCATATTTCTTCAAAAATGATGCCAGTGAGAAACGTTAATGGGGACTGTTATCGCGCCATGATAACCGATCGTTTCTTTAAAGAAGTGTGAAATCCCGAAATGGATCACCCTTTATTATATACATATATGTAGATATCTATATATGCAAATATTTATGTATGTTAGAACTTGCTTCTATGTAATTGTACAAGTAAACTTAAACTTCGTTTTACATATGCTTGACTGCGCCGCGTGCTGCTTAAATAAAGTTATCATCAGCGCACATGCAGCAGGGACCGGCGTAGCGCACCCAGTAGGAAAGCTTTGACATTACATGGTGAAACAAGAAAAAATATATAGATTTAGTTAATATCTGCTACCCTTATTAATTAGGAACATAGCACTGATTTCTGATATGTCAAAAATCTACCTTAACTGATCTGATCATAACTGTGTTATTACAAAGAATATATCTTTACCGAACTCCTTCTTTTATTGGTGGTTTTGGCTTTTATGATATATCAACCGACATATAGAGAGAGCGCTACAAGTTTTAGAAGCCGTGATGATAGTATAAACAATTATCAACTTCAACTGGGCAGAGTCCACTATGCATACTTCCAAAACAAACTATATACTTGCTTTTTCTTTTGCTTCACTTGCATCCTGTATTTTCTTAAGCGAACACGCGGAAAGTCGCGCCATAAAATACAATAAACGTTCTCAACATTTTTAACATTTATTATATGGTCATTTATTATCAATATCTATCTCGGAAATATCTCTTTTAATGAATCCTAATCGCCATTTGGTTGCCTTAATAAGTAGATTTGATGGACCGTGTTAATCTATTGCCTAGACAACCAGAATTGAATTCCGGCCTATAAAACTGGGAAACTATACGACGAAAACCTATTGCAATATTCTGCTACTTAGTCCATAGTCCACGTCTCTCATCAAATCTCAGCGCTAAAACATAATTAAAAATTAATAAATCGAAGAAATGAACTCTTCTTGTTATTTGTATGCGGTCAGTGATTTCTAGCTCGAATCATAGTTTGAAAATTGTAGACTCATATTTTACTGCGAAAATCCGATTGTCCAATTAGATCCAATTTTTAACGCTTGCCACTTCCTACAGTGTCATGCCCATATATCGGTTGTATGTTTGCATTGAATATTAGAAGAAAATATGTTTAGTCTATTTGCTCTATCATGCGATCCGTTCTAAAGGTGTTGAATGTGACGAGTGGATGATGCCTGGCAGATATCTTATTGTGTCATATTGTTCTAACTATTTCTAAGACTTCACAATTGTACAAAATGTATGCATGTGTGCAAGCGTCGTGTGCAACTTGGCATGACTCGGCGCATTGGTGGTTGCATGTGTGTGTGTGAGTAAAATGTATGAAATTTACAGCACGTCGCATACAGCGATGTGCCATAAACCTCATAACATATATATATATATGTATGCGTTCGCGCCGGGCCCAAGTCAAGGTGCTACAAGCGACTAAGTAAGTAAAATGTCACCAACGAAGCGTGTGAATTCTTTGTATTAAAATTTATATGTGTGCGTGCATTTGTGTGTTAGCTCTTTGCGCATGTGTGCATACATATATGCGATATGACAGAGTGTTTTGTTTATTCTTTTGTTATTACTTCTACCTTCTTTTTGTAGTTGTATCAATTCATAATGTTTACCAAACAATGACAAACTTTCGCATATTTTTTTTTTCATTCACTTGGAGTTGGCGTTTCCTTAGCCGCTGCAGGGTGTATACCGAGAACTTGCTGCTGTTAAATAGAAACTTTCTGGGAATGAAAGTTATTAGAAAATAATTGAAAACTGTTGTAGTTTTTGCGAAGAAACTTTCGAAATGCATCTCTATACTGATTTCTTCTGAGAAGAGAACAATTTTCCAGGCCAAAGTTCAATTACTTTGCAAAATTTTTTCAGCGGAGTTTTATAAATAAAAGAAAATGAATACATTTTTTTCGGTTCGTTCCTGTTGTAACTTATTTTTGTAAGATTATATTATAAAAATTACTTGTAATTGTTATATCTGCTAAGCTAAGGGAACTGTATTCGAACAAAGCAAGAAAAATTCCGAAAAATTCGACATATTGTAGTACAGAGTTGCCAACAGTCGAAAAAGTAAAACTAAAAGTATTCAAATAGGCTTAGAAAATATTAGGCGTTAAAAAGGAATTATTCCTGAGAAGCTTAGAATGCTATATTCGAACAAAGCAAGAAAATATCGCAAACTACAACATTTTGTGGTACAGAGTTGCCATCAATCGCAGAAGTCAGTGTTCCTGAATATTAAAATGATTATATTCCAACAAAACACTTAAATAACTTTTCAATTTAGGCAAATTGTTTTACAGAGTTGCCACTAGAGAAAATTATATGAAAAAATGGTTGCCGAATATAAGATATTTGTGAATGTGTACTTCCAGAAGTACTAAAAAGGTGAT